ATACTACTTTCCTTGCAGGATTAATGGGAGGGTTAGAAAGTATAGTTATAAAGGGCTTCACACATCGGAAATACTCAAGTTATTGTTGTTATCACTATTCTTAACTTCCCTGGACCCTTGTCATCTTGTTTAAAAATAAGGAGTTGAGTTTGATTGATCTCTACATTCTGGTCAGCTCTACTGCACTATAAATCTGTGACAAATGGGGGAAATAATAAAGAAATGTGGGTATTATAATAGAATTTTCATTAGCAATTAATTGCATGCGTACTAAGTAACCCCCTTGGAGTAATTAAGAAGGACCTCCCAATATTTTGTTGTAACTTAATATCTCCATTTACTACTCCCTTTCATTCACTTTTTGTAAACATTTTTTCTTCCAATGGTTTAAGAAAATTATTTATCCTAGCACAAATCTTTCTTCACTTTACTCCCTTCTACTTCCTTGGCTTTGAAACAACTGTCTGCCAGCAGGGTGTCGCTGAGTGGACCCATCTGTTCCTGTCAGAATAAAATAATTAAATTTAAAAAGGAGTTAATTATCTGCCATTGGTACCACTGGCTGGAGTAGGAGGAAGACTGAAGTGAGTACTTCATCTCGCTCATCTCTTCTCCCCTCTTATCTCTATCTTCCTTTCCCCTCTACAGTGAGCAAGGTTCAGGGATGCTGGCCCTCAGTGGACTTCCATTTCTGAGGAAGGTGCCCACACTGCCCAACTCAGTAGCTACAATTATATCATGTGCCTAATCATTTCTCCTGAGGCTGAAGTAGTTTCCCCAAACATAAATCAGGGAAAGAATGAAAATCCTAAATGTAAGAATTAGCACCAATCGCTTACAATCAACTTCCTATCCGAACAATGATCTCAACGAACATTCCCTCTTCAATCATCTTATATAAAAGTGGCCAGCCTTTGACTGGCTAGGATTTTCCAAACAAGAAACTTTAGGTGATTTAGATAGAGTTTAGCACAGCTGTTAAGGCAGGGACACTGCTGCCAGATGAGCTAGGAGCTGGGTTTGACTCCATCTCCACCTCTTACTAGCAGTGTGATCTTGCTCAAGTTACCCTCTCTGAGCCCTGTAAAAAAAGATGAGACGCCATGCATGGTGGCTCATGCCTGTAATCCCAGTCCTTTGGAGGCCGAAGTGGGTAGATCGCCTGAGCCCAAGAGTTTGAGACGAGCCTGGGCAACAGGACAAAATCCCATCTCTTAAAAAAAAAAAAAATACAAAAAATTAGCTGGGTGTGGTGGTGCACACCTGTGGTCCCGGCTACTTGGGAGGCTGAGGTGGGAGGATCATCTGAGTCCAGGAGGTCAAGGCTCCAGTGAGCTGTGATTGTGTCACTGCACTCCAGCCTGGGTGACAAAGTGAGACCCTGTCTCAAAAAAAAAAAAAAAAAAAATACTCCCCACTTCCTCAGGTTGTTGTGAGAAGCAAATGAAAACAGATATAGAAAGACACTTATAGAGTGTCTGGCACATAGAAAGGTGTCAGTGAGTGTTATTTCTATTATTATTATTATCACCTATATCCAAATTCTTTTTTTGTGTGTAACTGGGTAAATTAGGTGTAGTTGGGAATATCAAAGGATGACAAAGATTACTGAAGTCGCTGAGGATCAAGACCACTCTCTCATGTAATTCTCCCTACATATCCGTTTTAAGGAGAAATGATTGGGGTGAGAGGAAATCAGAAAAAAATGTACACAAATGAATAAGGTACAAAAGAGTTCTGACATGAAGATTCTGCTTGGTGCTTTGCTTTATAAAGCTGCCTTGATGTCTGGCATGACGGAGGGGCTCGATAAACACTTTCTGAACTAAACTGACCTGACATGATACTATTTCTCAAGCAGCCTTTAAGTGAGGCCCTTTGGGTCCTTTCACAACAGAATTCTCTTAATTGGGAAGCAAGTGAACGCTGCCCTGCGCCACATTCCACTGTATGGCGAGTGGAATTACGGCATGGGCCCAGGGGGTTGTTATTATTACTATGAATAACAACCTTTATTGAGAACCAGAGATTTGTTAGATACTGTCCAGAACATGTGTCGTTGTCCAGAATTAGACTCAGACTCTGTGGAGTGGTCTTGTCATCTAATTTTGACAAGCTTGGATAAGTTCCCCAGTACTATGAGGGCAGGAGGCAGTGAGGGAGTAGTCCACGGTGATGGAATTTCTGCTTGAGACACATTCAGTCCTGCTGAGAGAATGGTTCTGTCACAGGTAGAAGAAAGACTCAGTGGCTTCCATCTGCCTGGTGTTCTGGTCACCATCGTCATTGGGCAGGTGTCCCTAGGCCAGCTTCCCAGGGAGGCCCCTCCACTGACGTGCAGCATGGCCCCAACGTGTTGCTTGGCCTCTGTGTGCATTCTCATCCTTTTCTTCAGCAACTGGTAAAGAATTGCCTTGATCAATTTGGCATTAGGTGTTTTAAGAGACTTAAATGCTATCAATTCATCCATTGTTGTTTTTATAAAGTACATATCACACTGTGCAGGGTGTGGTGTTGAGCACTAAGGGGTTTGGGGTGGGGGGAATTTCAGGAGGAGAATACAGTGATGAACAGAAAAGCAGTTTGTTTTCAAAGAGCTCAGGGTTGAGTGGGAGAGAGAATACATGGCTTGTAGAGCAACTAATTCTCAAGTGTGTGAGACCTCAAAGGTGTGTTCAGCCCAAGGCCCGGCTGCTGACTTGGGGGACACAGAAATTATTGTAAAATACTGTATTAGAAGGGCTATGATGTGTGGCTCCACGGGACAGAACGGGAATCAATAGAAAGAAGAGAATTTTCAAGGCATCCCTGTGGTAGCACCTCACTCACTAGCAATATACCTTCTTAAGCAGGAGAGACGAGAGTGCAGTCACAGCAAGTGTGCTGGGAGGTACCTGTCATCGGCAGCCTATCTAGCTGATGCTGCAGCCACTACTAAAAGACTGCTACAAGCATGGACATTACTAATTGTGCAGTCCTTTACATCCCCAACCCCATTTGGAGGCTTCAGATTAGGCCCTCAGGAGCAAATCATGGACCAAGCATGGCCTATCATGTGAGTTGAGAATAACTCCAAACTCCTAGGCATGGCTGTTAAAGCCCTCCACAATCTGTTTCTGCCTGCTCTGCACTCTCCCTCCATGCTCTGCTCATTGTACTCTAAAACCGTGCTGGCTTTCATTTCAATGAATTTGTTCATGCAATCTTGCTTTTGTCTGAAATCCCCTCATCTCTTCTGTAACTCTTCCACCCACTCCACACCCCTACAAACATCACATACCCCTAACTCCTCCACAGGAGTTATCTCCACTGGGAAGTCCTCTCGAAGGTCTAAAAATTGATGAGATCCACTCTTGGAGGGAAGACGGAATGAAACTTTCTGGCATGCACCAGACTTGAACAGAAACTCTGGAATGAAGCCCTGGTTCTTCCCCCATTAATTGTTTCTTCGAACGAATCACTTTTATATGTTTCCTCCTCTGCAAAACACAGGCAATAACAATCACCCCATAGAGTGGTTATGAGGATTCATTCATTCAACAATAAAAATTGAATGTCTATAACATTCTGAAGGTATTCGGTCTTGAACAGAACAAATATGAACCTGCTCTCTTGGAACCAACAAGAGAATGTAGAAGCACATTTTGAACAGTATGTAAGCTTTTATTTTTATTTACTTATTGTGAGGTTTTATTTTTACTGCTGACCTTAAGAAGAAAGATTTGAGCCTCCTTAGGACCTCTTTTCAATATTACTGCTAGTCAAACATTTTCTTCAATCATTAAGAAAGCATTTATTGTGTACCAAATGAGAGAACCTGATGCAATAAGAATACAAAGTAGAAGACATAGGGCTTTTAACTTTGAGAAGCATAATACCCATTTGAGAGAAAAAGCTGTTAAATACTTGACAGAAGGAATCATGCCTGATTTTATTAATTTTTCTTTCTTTTTTTTTTTTTTGAGACGGAGTCTCACTCTGTTGCCCAGGCAGAGTGCACTGGCATGATCTCAGCTCATTGCAACCTCCACCGCCCAGATTCAAGCGACTCTCCTGCCTCAGCCTCCTGAGTAGCTGGGATTACAGCTGCCCACCACCATACTGGGCCAATTTTTGAATTTTATTGGAGATGGGGTTTCGCCATGTTGGCTAGACTGGTCTTAAACTCCTGACCTCAGATGATCTGCCCGTCTTGGCCTTCCAAAGTGCTGGAATTACAGGTATGAGCTACCACGCCCTGCCAATTTTATTAATTTAATAGACATCATTGAGTGCCCAGTGTGTGTCAGGCCTTGCACCTCTTCGGGACTGTTCTAATTACTCAGAACAGTGGTGAGCACATAAAGGGGACTCAGCAAAGTATCTGCAGGTTGACTGACAGACAAATGTTTAGAAAACAAGTCTACGGAAATATATAACCAAGTGTGAGAATGCATCCTGCATGCTGGATGGTAATTTAGAGTCTTCTGGAGTTCAGGAGACACCAAAGAGGGCTGAGGTCAATTTTAGAAGACTTCTCCATTTTGCTGTAGATTTGCGGAGTCAGCGGAAAAGGTTCTGGCTATGAGTTTATGATTAATCCGGGTTGCTCTGAAATGATTTTTGAAAAACATTGGCCGTGTAGGGAGACCACAATGTCACCACAAGAAGGAGCACTGGGCTGGGCGCGGTGGCTCACATTTGTAATCCCAGCACTTTGGGAGGCCAAGGCGGGAGGACCAACTGAGGTCAGGAATTTGAGACCAGCCTGGCCAACATGGTGAAACCCCTTCTCTACTAAAAATACAAAAATTAACCGGGCATGGTGGCACACGCCTCTAATCCCAGCTACTCCAGAGGGTAAGGCAGGGAAAATTGCTTGAAACTGGCAGGCAGAGGTTGCAGTGAGCTGAGATGGTGCCACTGCACTCCAGCCTGGGTGACAAAGCAAGACTTCATCTCAAAAAAAAAAAAAAAAAGAAAAAGGAACACTGGATTAAGAATGTAGGTGCCTGAGTTTTATTTCTGGCCATTTGGCCATATAGTTCACAAAATAAAAGCAGAAAATGATTTATGCTCACTATACACAAAATCCTTCCTCTGGCCCTCTTCCTCTTATCTAGCATCATGTTACTATTGCCAAACAAGTTCCCTAGTGGCTTTATCCCAGGATAGGACATGTTGAAAGAGGATGTTGGAGGTTTGGGACTGAAGAACCTTTAGAGTTGGGATGGTTCTCTTCCAGGTTCTAGGGACCATCTCTTTTTGCCTTGCTGATTTCAGAACTTGTATCAGTGGCAGAGGGCTTTAGAACACAATTCCCTAGGACCCTCCCCAAAACCCATAAACCAGATTCAGGCTCCTGCCCCACATTCCCATAACACCTTATACTTCTTTAATGTTAACACGCATCATGTTTTATTGAAATTATGTATTTACTGTCTGCTGTTAATTAAGGGGTATAAAGACAGTTACACTCAGTGAAGGCAGGGAATCCTTGTTTGTTTCCCCTCCTTCCTGCTGTATCCTCATTGTCTAGAATGATGGCTGGCACCCTGTAGTCACTCAATAAACTTATTAAATGAATGAAAAAAAGGACATTCTAGGCAGAGGGAACATAAGAAGCCAAGATACGTGGGTGAGAAATGGTGAAATGTGTATATGTACATGGGAAACTGTGTAGCTTAAGTATTGAGTGTGTGAGTGGAAAAGCGGAAAAACGACAGCATGAGACTGTACGGGGTTTCATATGGCAAGTTAAGCAGCTTAGACTTTCTAAGTGGTAGGAAGCCAGTGAGGAGGACTGCTAAAGCAGTGAGGTAAATTGCCATTGTGTTTGATAGCATTTATTCATGGCATGGGCAGCTTCCTATGCCCCTCCTAACACACTTCCTGCCAAGAAGCAGATAATAATCTACAAAGTAGTTTATATGCTATACGCCCAGTAAACTCACTGAGTATCTAATCTACAAATTTCCGTGGCTGAGATAGGGGTATCCAAAGGGAGCCAACGTAGCTGGAAAAGTAACTACAGTCAGAGACCTTTCACATTCTAAACTGAGCATCTGGTACACGGCAGCAATTTTAAGTTTCTCTGACCTTGCCTGAGCGTCAGCAGGAAGTCATACATGAAAAACCCTTCACCCTATTTCCTCTGCCTGGGCCCAGGAGGTCTGCCTCACCCCCACACCTCCTCAGATAGTGTCTCTTGTTCCCTCCCAATAAGACGTCCTTCCTAATACTGCCTTTCTGGTTTTCCAAGGTGCTCTTTTCTTGTACCTGTGCTTTACCTCTTCCAGGTGGAATTCCTTGGACAGCAGTGAAGGAGTCAGCAGTCAAGCCTCTTAGCAGACTAGACCAAAGGGTCACATTCTTTGACCCTTTCTGGAACTATTTTTATACTTCCTTGGGGACTTGCAAGGAACGAGTGACAGAGTGAGATCAAGGGAGAAGTCTTCAGGGACTGAGTGTGGAAAACGTGCCCCAAATCCTGGAAGAATATGACCTTTGTTTCCTTTTGTTTCCTTTCTATTTCCATTTTCTTCTCATTTCCTCCCCTTCTACTCTTGCTTCCATTTCTTTTCTCCTTTGTAATGCACCTTTCTCTACTTTCTAATTTCTCTTTCTCCCTCCTTCTTCTACCTCTCATCCTTCCCCAGCACTCTCATTGCTAGTAATGGCTACCTTTGATTCCGTTCTTTGCCGAACACTGTGTTAAGTGCTTTGTACGCATCATTTCATGGCACTCTATGAGTTAACAGTATGTCCATTTGGCAGGTGAGGAAAGTGAAACACAGATTGAATCATTTATCTAAGCCCAGCAGACGGTAATAGAAATTTGTCAAACCTCAGTAAGTTAACTCCCGCATCTGTCTTTTCTTAACCCTTCCATAGTCTTTTTCTCCATTTCCAACTCCCCCTTGTCCTTGCCTTTTCTTCTCTTCTTTTTATTCCTCCCCTTCTCTCCCTCCTTCTTTTTCTCAGACACTCACCATAGTTCAGTCACTGCACGTGTGTGGCTGACCCTGAAGGTGCTGAACGCTGTATATGTGCCCAGAAGAGAGGACAGACAATTCAAACTCTTATCTAATCAGCCTTTTTCCTTTTGAGCACATGCTCCACAATTTTCCCCATTTGGAGGCTGAAAGAGGGGGCGCTTCGCCACCTAAGGAAATGGGGCAGATGTCTGATCACAAATGACAGGAAAGGCCTCGATACATGGATGGGTCTTTGATATAGAGAGGAGCAGAGATAAGACCCTTTCTGCTCACTCAGGAACTCCCTCATTCCCAGGGACTCTGTATACTCTCAAGGTTGGGGACCCGGGGTCTGAGAGAAGACAGGGCCAGGAGGTTGGTCCCTGTCAAGGCAACAATCAACTCAAGAGCTGAGGAAGCCTGGACTATAAAATGCACCACCCTGACCCCATCTTTCCCCACAAGGCTGAAGAATGTTCAGACAGAAACCAGGAGCACGTTGGCAGCAAAGATATGAAGGTCAATTTTGAATTTGACAAACCTCTAAAGTCCCACCCAAATCTGAGGTTTTATGATTCTAAGAAAGGAATATTTATGCTCCATTCCCTCCGAGATCTTTGTCATCCTGTTGGTTAGGAATGATTAGAGACTTACACTGTAAGAACATATATTATTCACTAAGTAAGAATTCTGGAGGTAGGGAGCCTCAAGAGTTGCTTCAGAGGCCTCAGGGCACTGGTTGACATTTCTGAGATTCTCTGGACAGCTTTAGACATCTTGGTTCATACAACTCTGTCCACAGGCAGGAAGCGGTGGGGGCAAGCGGAGCTCACTCCTATTCACTGGGGGATGGGAGCACTGTGAGTAGGCTCCCTCCTGTTCACCAGGGGATGGGAGCACTGTGAGTGAGGTTCCCTCTTGTCACAGGGGGATAGGAGCACTGTGAGTGAGGCTCTCTCCATTTACTGGGAGGTAGAAAAACCTTTTCTGGAGCATTCCCTCTACTTTAGATTCTCCCCATACCTCACCTACCAGAACTAACTGCAGAGGAGATTGAGAAAGCAATACCTGGCTTTTTCACCCTGCCAATGGGAGGCAGGCAAGAAACAGGGAATTGGTTTTCTATTGGGTAGGAAACAACAGTGCCTGTCAGCCCCTCCTTCCTTCACTCAACTAACATGTATTAAACACCTACTGTGGGCCAGGCTCTGGTGATACAGAAGAGAAGACAGTCCCCATTTTCAAACAGTCCCTACTGGGAGAACACAGACAGGCAGAGGATTACAACACAAGGCGGCAAGCACTGGGAGACAAGTAAGTGTCCTGGGGACCATCACAGGAGCTGAAGAGGCTCAGCTTCAGGGAAGAGGGAGGGTTGGAGGAGGCAATGACTGGGTTAAGTTTTGAAGGTAAATGGGATTCAGCTAGGAGTGAGGGGACATGTAGAGGTATAGAAGGAGGGCATTTGGAAAGACTTAGCATGGCTGGACAAAAGGAACTCATGTGGACAGGCAGGAAGAGGCTGGAAAAGCAGACAAGTGCCAGATGAGGGAGGATTTTGTAAGGGACATAAAGTTTTGAGACATTTATTCTGGACATAAGGGTGGATAGATGTGTGTGTGAGAACCTTACTTAAGTGAGACACAGAAACTTAGCAGCAGGGTGAGCTGAGCTGTGTGGTTGGAATGGCTGTGTTGCACTGAGGCATGGGAGATCAACTTTGCCTTACCAGCCAGAGGAAGTGAGCACTTATCTGTGATACGGTTAGCTGGTGTGACCAAAGCACACTTTTTGTTTGCCACCTCCCAACACAGCTGGTCTATGCTGGACGGTTCTGATTTTTGCAGAATGCTTCCTGAGGGGCCAAATTTGCCGACTGCATCCTCACTCTTTCCTCCTCCACCTAGTTCTGCCCTCTGGAGCCATAAAAATATTCCTTTTCCATCCAACAGCCATTCAAACATTTGGAACAGTTGTGGAATGATTTTCAGAATATCACATACCTCATATCACTTAATCCTCAGAATTCTCTGGTGTAGCTATTCCCACCCCCGTCTGATAAATGAAGAAACAGACTCAGTGAGGTAAATGCCCAGAGTCACATTTGCAGATACCAATCCTGTGTTCTTTTTAATAATCGTGTTTCTCCAGATGCGGTCCCTCGCTGCCTACATCAGAACCACTTGGGCCACTTGTTGTAAATCCAGATTCCTGGGGGCCATCCCAGACCTCCTGAAGTAGAATTACTGGGGCAAGCGCAGAATCCATATTGTAACACACCTCGATTTCTAGATCCGTTAAAGTGTGGGAGCCATGCTCTAATTTTGCTAATATGGCTACTTTGAATCTTCTCTTTCTTTTTATTTTTGCTGGGAAACGAGAGAGAGCTTTTCTTTGGTTGCTTTGACTTCTAAGTTGCATTGTCTTAACGAACCCACTGGATGGATCAGTGGAATACCAGAACATGACAGACCTTCCAGACCTTCACATAACATCCTTCTCCTTTTCTCTCTTTCTCTCTCCCCCATTTGCAGAAGTTTTGCCATCTGTGACCTGGCTGTGCCAAGATGGGCGATTGGAGCTTCCTGGGAGAATTCCTGGAGGAAGTACACAAGCACTCGACCGTAGTAGGCAAGGTCTGGCTCACTGTCCTTTTCATATTCCGTATGCTCGTGCTGGGCACAGCTGCTGAGTCTTCCTGGGGGGATGAGCAGGCTGATTTCCGGTGTGATACGATTCAGCCTGGCTGCCAGAACGTCTGCTACGACCAAGCTTTCCCCATCTCCCACATTCGCTACTGGGTGCTGCAGATCATCTTCGTCTCCACGCCCTCTCTGGTGTACATGGGCCACGCCATGCACACTGTGCGCATGCAGGAGAAGCGCAAGCTACGGGAGGCCGAGAGGGCCAAAGAGGTCCAGCGCTCTGGCTCTTACGAGTACCCGGTGGCTGAGAAAGCAGAACTGTCCTGCTGGGAGGAAGGGAATGGAAGGATTGTCCTCCAGGGCTCTCTGCTCAACACCTATGTGTGCAGCATCCTGATCCGCACCACCATGGAGGTGGGCTTCATTGTGGGCCAGTACCTCATCTACGGAATCTTCCTGACCACCCTGCATGTCTGCCGCAGGAGTCCCTGTCCCCACCCGGTCAACTGTTACGTATCCCGGCCCACAGAGAAGAACGTCTTCATTGTCTTTATGCTGGCTGTGGCTGCACTGTCCCTCCTCCTTAGCCTAGCTGAGCTCTACCACCTGGGCTGGAAGAAGATCAGACAGCGATTTGTCAAGCCGCGGCAGCACGTGGCTAAGTGCCAGCTTTCTGGCCCCTCTGTGAGCATGGTCCAGAGTTGCACACCACCCCCCGACTTTAATCAGTGCCTGGAGAATGGCCCTGGGGGAAAATTCTTCAATCCCTTCAGCAATAATATGGCCTCCCAACAAAACACAGACAACCTGGCCACTGAGCAAGTGCGAGGTCAGGAGCAGACTCCTGGGGAAGGTTTCATCCAGGTTCGTTATGGCCAGAAGCCTGAGGTGCCCAATGGAGTCTCACCAGGTCACCGCCTTCCCCATGGCTATCATAGCGACAAGCGACGTCTTAGTAAGGCCAGCAGCAAGGCCAGGTCAGATGACCTATCAGTGTGACCCTCCTTTATGGGAGGACCAGGACCAGATGGGAACAAAGGAGGCTGAGAGAGGAAAGATATCTCTCTTCTGAACTGATGCTTTCTCACTGTCATCACTGCTTGGCTCCTTTGGACCCTGGGTCTCAATGACATTGCTCATTAATTCTAGAAACTGTAATCAGGGCTCTGGGATAGTAAGAGACATGACTATCCACCCAGACTGCAGTTCCCTCCCCACCCTCTACCCAGTATATGAAGCCTTTCAGGTTACTCATGAAACAGGGTAGAGGGAGGGAAGGGAAGAATGGCCAAAGCTGGCCTGGAAGGGATAGCCAGAGGGATAGAATGACTCTCTCTCTACATACCAGCAACATACCAGATGCATTCTTTAAGTTCCTACCTCCTTGACCTGATCACCCTCCCTCCTCCAAGGAAGAGCTCAAAGTTCCCAGCCAACAGAGAGCATGAATCAAGGAACTTGCATTATATGTGCTCCTTGAGTCTGTTATCTCCATGGACCATTCCTCAGAGTAGTGGTGAGATGGCTTTGGGTTACCTTTGGCTTCTGCCCCCTCTACTCAGTCTTAAAAAGGGTTTCTTGGAACTTTACCAGCAGCCTCAACTTTACAAATGCCTTGGTATATACCTTTGGCAAATGCCCCACCTTGGTGATGTTGCAACCTTTCCTTCTGCCAGGGTGTACACCTAGCCTGTGAAGATGTCAGCTCTGCTAGGGAGTCACTGTACACACAAACTCCACTGGAATTCCTGCCAACATCTGTCATCCTGCAGCTCCTTTACAGTTCAATCCAATGATAGAAACCATCCCTTCCCTTTCTCCCTTGGCTGTTCACCCAGCCATTCCCTGAAGGCCTTATCGACAGGGATATCCAAGAAGCCGTTGTCCTCTCTCGAACCCTGACCAGATCCCCAGCCACTGAGGCCAGTGGAATTTCCCCAGGCCTTGTTAAAACAAAGAAAGCATTGTACTTCTCAGATTCCCCTTGTGGAAAAAAAATTCTGTTGTGAAGATGAAAATAAAATAGGAGAGAAAACACTGGAAAACTATTTTCCCCTCCTATTTACTTCCTTTGCTGACTGCCAACTTAGTGCCAAGAGAAGGTGTGATGACAGCTATGGAGGCCCCCAGATCTCCTTCTCCTGGAGGCTTTAGCAGGGGCATGGAAATAGTAGGGGAATCTCCAGCTCTCTTGGCAAGGCCTTTATTTAAAGAGCACAGAGATTCTTATGTCTCCCTAGTGCCCCTAATGAGACTGCCAAGTGGGGGCTGTAGAAAAGCCTTGCCTTCTCCAGGGACTGGCCTTGTTTCTGTATTCACTGGATCCATAATGGGTTACTGTTGTTTTGGATGAAGGTAAAGGATGCTCAGAATTGTTGGATACTGAGACTTATAGAGAGATTATTGCATTATTAAAATGCACGTGTGTGTGTGTGTGTGTGTATGTGCTGATAGGATGGGTAAAGGCTAGAGGAGTCCTGAAATAAGGAAAGGAAACCACAGAGAAACTTGTGTCTTCCTGCTCTCCTCTCCGGCTGCCTCGCAGAGGGGCTAAGCCTCACTGTCTTGGTGTTATTAACCTAAACAGATAGGCACGAGAGGTTGGGACAGAGGAGGCTAAAGGCTCAGGAGATTCAACCTCTCACTCACCTGCCCGTCTCTGGGCCCTCTGCTGATACTTGGATGCTATTGTTGGGTGGAAAGAAAAATGAGAGTGGGCAAGTGGAGGAAAGTGACTAGGATGCCATTTAGGAAGGAATGTCTGATCCTCCCAGGTCCCTGGAGGGGACACCTTTTAATCTATTGCCTAGCATTAATATTTTCTCTCCTTCTATCTCTGAAATGTTTTATGAAATGAGCGTTCTTGAATTGGAAGTTCTGTGGGATCAATCTTTGATGGTGAGGGTTTTAGAAAGGAAAAATTAAGTAAAATGTGTAATTTGTCTAAATAAAATCTATCTCTACATCTGTCTCTCTTTTGTTGTCCACTTCATGTTGTGACTACAAGAGGATGGCAGACTTGGTGGGGAAGGGAGCGCTTGGACTGTACCCATCAGTAAGCCAGTAATGCAAAGAGCTTTGAAGTCAGGCATGCAAGGGTTAAAATTCCAGTTGCTAACTTACATCTGGACTCCAGCAAGACAATCTCTGAGCCTGGGTTTCTTCATCTGTAAACTGGGCCCCGTTAATATCTACCTCATGGGCTGTTAACTGAGCTGTTAATTACCTCATAGGGCTGTTATCTGAGTTGACTGTAAAGAGTTCAGCAGAGTGCTTGGGAAATAACAGTCATTACATGGTAATTGTTGTTATTATCTGATTATTTTTGTTATTGTTTTGAATACACAGTATTTGGAAATGGGATGTTGAGGGATGATTCCAAAACTTCTCTTTATCAAGCCCACAATCTGCCTAATGTGATCAGATTAACTCACATTATTCTATTCTAACAATTAGAATAGAATTAAACAGGAATTAATGTATCATCAGTTCTAGGAACCATAGGCTCCAGGAGGTGATACATAAAAAACAAACAAAACAAAAAACTAACAAACTACACAGAAAAGAGGGGAGACCTGACCTGGACCTAAAAAATGAGAAGGCTTTAGAGAAGTATAGACCCCAAGGATGAGTCTGTGAAAAAGGTCTTTGTATTACCATTTTACAGATACGTAAAGTGACACCCAGGAGAGTTCCCTGAGAGTGGGGCTGCTTCTCACTGGCTCCCTGATTGATATTTCATCTATATGGAAGAAGAGAAATAACTGTTGCTGCAAACAAAGGGTCAAGGGACCGACCACCTAGCCTTTCACCAACAAATGGGTGTCATTTCCGAGAGAAGATTAGGAAAGACAGACAGAAGTGTAATCTTACCTACCAATCAGTCTTCTTTACCAGGGCAGGAAAGCTTTTTTAAAAGGGTCTTGCAAAGAGATCATAGAACGCATATTATGACACCAATATGGAGACTTAGGAGTACCCCTGGCCTCTGTCTGAGGATAAGGTGCTCCACCCAGAGATACCGCAGTAGTCCAACTAAAGAAAGCACCTGGAACCCATTTTTTTTCTCCTAGAAAAATAAAAATCAGTTTTAAAACATAGTCATTAACATTTAACAGTTCATTTTATGCCGGACTGCAAAAACTAAGGAACTTATAGTAAGATTTCAACCTCATGTATGTCTACTCTCATTTTCTTTCTTTCTCCCTCCCTTCTAAAGCTTCATCACTAAAGAGCATAATCTGGTTGGTAATAGAGTGAACACACTCCGAGTTGCAGGCCCCTTTAGGCCCATTTCCTTAAATTGCTTCCTCCAGTGCCAGATAAGAACAGAATGTCTACCAGAATGTTTCATTCCAATGGCTCAAGTGTTTAAGTGGTTAAATGCTAATAATACTCCTATGTAAAATCATAGTATGAATGGGTTTCAGATTTTTTCCTAATAGCAAATTGCGATACCTGAGAGAAAAACAGAAGAACAAGGACAGTAGGCATCTTGCAGGCATCTTGAAGGATTGCTGTCATGATGTGGAAATCAGGAAAACAGCGAGGCTGGAGGGAGCTGCCCACGTCCCAATCCTCAGGAAGTTCTGGAAGCCCCTGCAGTTGGTCCTTGATAATAAACAGATTTTTTAAAATCCTAGATTTTTAAGTAGAATATGATTAGGGATTTTTCCTTTCATTGGTCACTTGATGGTCATCAGAGATAGGTAGGATCTATAGTTTTTTATTGTTGTTTCAAGTGGAAAATATTGTCACTCAACAAAGAATTACTGACCAGCTATTTTCAGCTAGGCATTCTGTTAGGCTTTAGGAGTATAATTTTAGAAACCAGACATGGTTCCTGCTTTTTGGATCTGACAGTCTGGTGGGGAAGGCACTCTAACACAAATAAACAAATAAAATAATTTTGTGTGTGTGTGTGTGTGTGTGTGTGTGTGTGTGTGTGTGTGTGTGAGACAGGGCTCACTGTGTTGCCCAGGCTGGAGTGCAGTGGTGCGATCTTGGCTCACTGCACACTCCGCCTCCTGGGTTCAAGCGATTCTTGTGCCTCAGCCTCCCAAGCAGCTGGGATTACAGGCATGCACCACCATTTTTAGTAGAGATGGAGTTTTGCCATGTTGGCAAGGCCAGTCTCAAACTCCTGGCCTCAAGTGATATGCTCGCCTCAGCCTCCCAAAGTGCTAGGATTACAGGTGTGATTCACTACACCCAGGGATAAATAAAATAATTTAAATTGTGACAAGTGTCATGAAAGAAACAAGGGGTTAACAAAGGTGGGCTGAGAGATTCTAGTATTCAGATAGGGCAGCAGAAAGTCCTTTCTGAGGAGGTAACATTGAAGCTGAGATGTGACAGTTTAGAAGCCAGGCACTGATACGCAGGGGAAGAACCCAGGTGAGTAAATCTAAATTCCTTCCAGAAAATTCCAGAATACAGCTTTCCCTTATCTCACTTTGGTCCAACATTTTTGAAAGACAGAATTCAAGCAGTAACTAAAACAGCACAGTTTGGCACCAACTGTAGCAAAACACACATACCTCTTTCTACAAAAAATTCAAAAGACTGAAATCTTTTCACTCAAGGAAGCAAAAGGAGCATATGTAAAAGATCTGAATTAAAACAAGAAAATATATGTTAAGTTCTAAAAGCCCTATTTTTTTTTTCATGATCAGGAAGACTGTCAGAATCCACTAGTATCAATTCTGATAACACACTTTGGCCTATTCCATGGGGTACGACTGGAGAGGGGAGGCAGGGGTGCTCGGGTACAGAAGGGAGTCCAGTCCAGGCTTGTTGGAAGAAGACTATATCCAAAGGCACTGGGAGAGAGTCAGCAGGGCATGGCCCAGAGTAGCCTTAGCATCAGGAAAGTCAAAGCAGCAAAACATCAAGTACACAGAGAGGTGGGGAAAGCAGAGGGTGGAGGAGCAGATAGCAGGGAAGCCAGGCCACGGAAGTTGTGTAAGACACCAGACAGGCAGGCAGGCACTGTTGGGGACATGTCTCAGCTGGCAGTAAGGCTCCAGACCCTGATCTGGATTTGGAGCTGGACTTCCAGACTCAGGGAAGGGAGTCTGACATGGGCAGAGTGGAGCTTCATCCTAGTAGCTGGGTTACTAAGCAAGGCACTAGGACAGCGTCTTGGATAGAGTACAAGCAGGCTCGTGTACTCTTGTGGGGCCCATTATCAGAATTACAGAGGTGTGGATGAATGAACTGAGTCAAGCTATTGGTGGCAATATATATGATGTTTATAGATACAGTACCTTCAAAGCCTTAAACCAAAGGAATGACAACTGTGAGACTTCTAAGCACCTCATCAAGCCAGCGGGTGGGGAGATGATTTGGGGGATGGAGGCTAATGCTTTTCTTTATCTATCACCACCTTCAGCTAAGGGTAGCACAGCCCCGGGAGGCCATGGCTTGGAAACAAGACTCAAGCCCTGTCAGTCCCTTCAACTTGACTGAATTTTCCATTACCCGGATTCAAGGCCCTTATGGGACTGTGTGCATGTACTTGTGAACAAAGGGTTTCTCAGAGAAAGTGAGAACCATGCAGGATCCTTTCAGGAGTGTTCATTGCCCTGGGCTCTGCAGCCTGGCCAAGGCTAAATCCCCTCCAGCAGCAGCTGCTCTTCAGTCAACAGGGGGATTCAGGGAAGGGTAGAAAGTTATTTTATACCTTCCTGGGACTTGTCTTTCAATGTGATAAAATATAACCTGGAGGGGTTTACATTTACAAAGGTTTGAGGTAAAATTGCACATTTGAAACCATTATAAAAACTTGTGTAGGGTGTAGTTGACTGGGGAAAAGTCAATTTAAAAACCCTTGCATATTTTAATAGTAATAATGAAATACATCTTCAGTTATTAAGTGCTTGCTGTTTTCTGGGCATTGTGCTAAGAGATTTTATGAACTGCTATTTCATCCTTACAGTAATCCTATGAGGTTATTTGACCCCATTTTACAGATAAGGAAACTGAGACTTAGATTCAGTAACTTGCACAGTGACTAGGCAGTAGGACTGGGATTCAAACCTGCCTTATACTTCTCTTAAGTGCTCATCATATATTCTTAAGTAAAAAGGCAAGACACAAAATTGTATGTGTAGCATGATTATGATGTGTAAAATTAGGCATTCATGCTTGGTGTGGTATCCCATTGCACATCTATAGTCCCAGTTATTTGGGAAGCTGAGGTGGGAGGATCACTTGAGCCCAGGAGTCCCAGGGCAGCCTGGACAACATAGCAAGACCCCTATCTCAAAAAAAAAAAGGCATTTATAAGAGCAAAGACTTGAGGGAAACAAACAAAAATGAAAGCAATTGGTGGATTGGTGGGGGTGCTTTAATTCTCTCAATTTTGTAAACTATTTTAATGTAAAGATGCTATTTTTGAAATTAACACACTTAAAATACACTTATATTCAACTTTTGGGCTAAATTTGGTGTTCCCCTGGGGTGGCTGCCAGGAGCTGCCTTTCAGTCTCTGCAATCCTCATGCCTGGGAAAATTGTTTTGTTTGGGCTCAGACTGTCACCCTTAAATGGGATATGGTTAGCAGGAGGTGCCCATGCCAGGGTCCTGGCAGCCAACTGTGTGACAGCAGATGGCCCACCAGCTGCGGCCTCTGGGAATGGCGGAGCACTAGAGTGAATTGGGAGGCATGGTTTCCCCCATGAACTCTTCTTACACATCCCAGTGTGGTGAGCGCCCACTGCACACCACGTCAGGGCCACGGGCAGGCACCGTTTGGGAGGATATCAGTAAGAGAGAAGCCTGCCCTCAACCACTCAGGACCTTGTAGAGGAGGGGAACAATGCCATATTACCAGGGAGCAGTGCTCAGTGTGGTAAGAGGAAAAAATGGCACTGAAGGTCTTCAGAGGAAGGGGAGAACCTGGGGAGGAGGAAGAGCTCAGGAAGGGCTTCATAGAGTTGGTGGCACTTGAAATTGCCTTTGAAAGAG